CTCTCTCTCTCTCTCTCTCTCTCTCTCTCTCTCTCTCTCTCTCTCTCGTTTTGAGACAGGGTTTCTCTATGTAGCTTTGGCTGTCCTGGAACTCCTTATGTAGACCAGGCTGCCGTCCTCGAACTCATAGAGATCCACCTGACTCTACCTCCTGGGTGCTGGGATTAAAGTCCACTGTCACCACCACCTAATTAAAACTAACTTAAAAAAAAAAAAGATTTTTTTTTTTTTGGTTTTGTTTTTAAGCTAGGAGAACTGTGAGTTCAAGGCCGACCTGGCTATAGAGAGAAAACTTTATCGTTAAATCTCTTGGGCTTACCCCAAGGATTCTGCTTTACTCAGTGCTGTCCTTGGGCTTCCTACGCTGATACTAAGTAGGTTAAATACCTTGGATGCTGATCCAAGATTATCTTGGACATGACACTTTATGTGGCCACCTAAGTAACAAACTGGCATAATTGATTCACTGCCACCTTACCAGGTTTTCTTCATATTTGGCTAAGAAATTTGTAATTACTGTACATACAAATGAACCAAACACTAACTCTGGTGACAAACTGGTTACCAGGCAAACTGCTCATTAGAACCACCCCAGATTGTATGCCAGGCTATGCCACAATAGTGAAATACTAGGTAGAGGGAAGCCATTAAAGTCGAACTGAAAGACAAACAATGAAACAGAAAGAGAAGAAAAAGCCACTGCTCAGAGCCTCTTGTGCAGGAAGGACAGCTCTTGTTTCTTGCAGACCCAGAGTTAGCCATTTCTCTGCCCGTCTCCCAGTGTTGGTCCACCCCATTTCAGCCAACTATGTCCTTAGATGTATCTCACTTTCACTTTTTAAAAAAAAGTTTTAGTTGAGTGGAGGCAGAGGCAGGTGGATCTCTGATTCTGAGGCTAGCCTGGTCTATAGAGGGAGTTCCAGGGCAGTCAGGCCAACGCAGAGAAACACTGTCTAGGAAAAAAAACAAAAACAAAAACAAAACCAACCAAAAAAACAAAGAAAGAATCTTTCTTTAGATTCTTTAACCTATCCGCACTCCAACTCGGCAAAGGGATCATGACCCAGTGTTCTGAAACAGCACTGGAGGGCTGGGCCTATGAGAAAGAACTGCTCAGTCCGCATCACCCACATCCACACAGATCTGCCTAGAACCCCACTTCCCATTTTTTTCTTCCCCAACACCCACATGTCTCTGCGAGCAACCAGATTAGGGGCGTCGGTGGCATGAAAAAGACGGGGAGGGGGAAGGGAGGGAGGGAGGGAGGGAGGGAGGGAGAGAGGGAGAGAGGGAGAGAGGGAGAGAGAGAGAGAGAGAGAGAGAGAGAGAGAGAGAGAGAGAGAGAGAGAGAGAGAGAGGATGAGAATAGATGGATAGGATAGGAACCTGGGTGTAGGGGGAGGGTGGCCATCAACTTGGCCTTGAGGTCTGGAAGGCAATCTTGAGATCTGTCTTTCTACCTTGAGGGAAGTAGAAGCAAGACGGGGCTTTCTGTCCATCAGAGAGACCCAAGGGTGCCCACCTGCAGTCACGACGAGCTCTTCCCACGGCCCGAATACCCACCTGAGGAGCCCCACACTCAACACAATGTGAATTTCCTTTCCATCTGTCAGTCTAGGGACACTATGCCCCAACACCAGGGGTTCCGCTCAGCTCCAGCAGCGTCCATCGAAACCTGACAGGGTCCAGAAAGCTGCCTGCCGTCCGGGCCCGTCCCCTTGCCTCGGGTCTCTCTCCAGGACCTCCCAGATCCTCCCCGACCGCGCAGACGGCGCAGGCAGACTTACCCGGAGCTCGCCCTCCGTGCGGTGCAGTCCCAGGCGCCGCAGCCCCACCGCCAGGTCGTTGACACACAGGCCGCCGTCGCGGTTGACGTCGAGGGTTTGGAAGAGGCTCCACAGGCGCAGCTGGTGGTCCGGGCCGCCACAGACGGCGCCGCCGCACGGGTCCCCTACAGAAACTGGCGACGAAGCGGACGACGAGGCGGTGGCGGTGGCGTCCGGCGCCGGGGAGGCCACGCAGCGGCACAACACACTGCTCACCATCGGGCGCGAGGCGGGGGCGCCGGACGCGGGGCTGAAGGCGGCAGGAGAGCGACCCGAGCGCGGAAACACGCCGCCTTTCCTCAGACACCAAGCGCGGGCTCCCCGTAGCCGGCCGACTGGAGGGAGGGGCCGCTTCCGGGAGCCCCGCCCAGCGGCGCGCGGAGGTGCTGACCGCGCCCTCTAGCACACTGCCGGCCAATCACAGGCCGGGATGTCGGCTCCGGAATCAATGAGGGGGCGGGGCCACCGTGCCAGCTCGAAGTCGATTCAAACTGAGGGATTCGGGGATTGGTTGAAGCTGGGTAATAGGCAAGCAGAAAGCCTTGTGTCCAATTCCCATTCAGAAGCTCTATTTAGACTGCGGCATGATGAGGCTGAGAGGAGCGTTTGTGTACGAAGAGATCGTAGTTATCCGTGGAAATGAAATGTGTATGAGGGCAACTGTGGACTGAGGTTAGAAGACACAAAGCACCATTGAATAAAATGAAAATTTAATGGGCTGACGACTCAAGACTGAAAACACGAATCAAAGTCAGGAAGCTAAGCTTCTAGTAGTCTCCTAAACTGCCAATAAAACAGCCGAATTTCACAACGTAATAGTCGCGATATCAACAACTGAACGACAGTCCGATTTTCCAATGGAAATGACTAATGTCCATGTGGGCGGACAGCCTCAAGCAACAGACATGTCTTTAGACCAATGACCAGGCCAGTTCAAGCAAAGAGGTGTGTCCTCTGAGAGGAATGGCAGCCTGGAGAGCCAGTGATCGGCGAGATATTTGAGCCACGCCAAACCTGGAGGGCGGTGCTTCTCAGGGATGTGCAGAGGGGCGGGAAGAAGGGAAGTGGGCGGATCTCCGCACACCCCAGCGGAAGAGGCAGATTCAGGAAGCCATTACGCAGCTGGCTGGCGGCGGTCGGGCTGGTCAGGGCTGGGCCCTACGCACTTTGCGTAGTGAGGGGGGTTACTTAAGGCCTGGTACTTGGCCTTGTACAAGTCTTGCCTGTCCCCCTAAAGGGGGTGGGGGTGAGAGAGAGGCGAGGCTGCAAAAGAAGAGAAGAGAAATTGAGGCTGTTAAGGGCATTATAATTTCTTTAAAAAGAGAGGAAAGGGGAGGCCATGGCTGTCCCAGCCAAGAAGAGGAAGATGAACTTTTCAGAGCGGGAGGTGGAGATCATCGTGGAGGAACTGGAACTGAAGAAGCACCTGCTGGTGAACCACTTCAATGCTGGGGTCCCTCTGGCTGCCAAGAGTGCGGCCTGGCATGGCATCCTGAAAAGGGTCAACGCTGTGGCCACCTGCCGTAGGGAGCTGCCCGAAGTCAAGAAAAAGTGGTCCGACCTCAAGACCGAGGTTCGTCGCAAGGTGGCCCAAGTCCGAGCTGCTGTAGAAGGTGGCGAGGCTCCAGGGCCCACAGAAGAAGATGGAGCTGGTGGAGCCGGGACAGGCAGTGGCAGTGGTGGCAATGGCACAGCCATAGCTCCGGTACTGCTGACCCCTATGCAACAGAGGATCTGCAACCTGTTGGGTGAGGCCACCATCATCAGCCTACCCAGTACCACAGAGATCCATCCTGTGGCCCTCGGACCCACAGCTACTACAGCCGCAGCCACGGTCACCCTGACACAGAGTGAGTGAGCTCTCCTGCTCAGTTCAGCTGCATAAATGGGACGGGCCAGCAAGTTTTGGGGCAGCCTGGGGCAAATTGGCTGTCAAGGGTCAAAAGTCAGATGGTGATCTTGGAAAGACCATGAGGCCTTCCAAGAACTCCCCAGACTGAAGTGATCGTGTTCTTTTAGGGTCTTCCTCAGCATGTGGATAGCTGGATGCCCATGACTTCCACTTGCTGACCCATGTAGTGTTGAAGACAGAGACTGTCTGTAGCTCCACAGGACTTAGGACCTCATATTAATAGGCAGCCAGGATATACTTGTTGAATGACTAACTAGGACTAATACTGCCCAAGTGAGACATCCATTCTGCGCAAAGACATTCTGTGTTTTCAGTATACAAAAACACAACAGGCACTTCTCAGGAGCTTCGTGATTTCTGTCTATCCATCCGTTCATCAAGCCATTTATGCTGGGCGCCAGAAATACCAAAATATTTTACATTGTCTAGAGGCTGGAGAGATAGCGCAGTGGTAAAGTCCTTGCTTAGCACTGCAAAAAAGTAAAACTATAGGCCAATTATATACTACTAGGCAGATGATACAGCTTTACTATGAAATGGGAAACCCAAGGACTCGTAAGAGGAAAGGGATTTCTGGTGTGAGAGGAACACATGCTTAATGGTATTGAGAAGTAGGGAAATAGGAGGCGGAGGTGCATACTAGTAAACCTGGCATTCCAAGAGGCGAACCCCTAGGGCTCAATAACCACCGAGCCTCACCTATTTAGAGAATTCTAGGCCAGTAAAGGGACTCTGCTGAGGACTGTCTCCTGAGGTTGCCTTGTAATCCCCTCCATATGCACACAAACACACTAGTGTGGAGACATGTATACCTGTATATACATGAACAGATATACACAGTTTTTTAAAAATAAGATTGACATCTCCTACATACATAAAGGACCAAACAACGAATGTCCCTCCAGAGGTTTTCTCTGATGAATGATAACAGAACAAGTTGGTCGGGTTTTGTGTTTGAAATAAGGATGTGTGCCCACACCTCTGAATTCTGCTCAGTCATGATGGGCTTTGAACTGGATCGACCAGACTCTCAATGTTGTGTGGGTGTGTGCTCTCCCCTACATCTTTCTTCAGCCCATGTGAAGTCAGAAGAGGATGGAAAGCACTGGTCTAAGTCACGTACTGTTCTGGAACAACATCTGCAAGGATGTTCAGGTGTCTTAAGGACCAATGTGAGTAAGAAGACAGGTAGACAGTTTTCTGGACATGTGAGCTTCTATGGCTCTTGTCCTTCTTTGGTCACACAGACGGGATAGAATGAGCTCACAGCAGCCCAGTGGTTCTGTTGTCATCTGAAACTGAAGAGGACAATGTCTGCCTCTTCTCATTTGGAGGATTCATTGAGCTAATGAGTACAGAGTGGTATGCACATCTTCTGATGTGGCATTCTGTATCAGTGGTAGGATTTGCTGTTCTAATGCTGCCATTCCTGTTGGCATCTCTGCATTTGTCAGATCTGGTAGAGTAAAATCCTGAAACCTGGTTGGAGAAGTATCTCGGTGGTAAAACATATGCTTAGCATATAGAAGGCCCAGGGTTTTATCCCAGCCATGAGGGACAAAGAGAGCTGAACCTCTCAGATTCTGTGTCTTCATGTGAATACAGCCAGGGAAGGCCTGAATTCCCTTTGCCCGCTGCTGCACAGGGTTTTGTGGCCTCCTCTCCATGTTGCAGTCTCAGCCACATTCCTTCCAAAAGGTGACGCACATCTGCTTTTGTTTTTTCTTCCCGCAGTCCCCACTGAGACCACCTACCACACGCTGGAGGAGGGAGTGGTGGAGTACTGCACTACTGAAGCCCCTCAGCCCCTGCCAGCAGCGGCCCCAGTGGAGATGATAGCCCAGCCTGCAGACACATCTGTCAAGCCACAGGCACTGAAGAGCCGCATTGCCCTCAATTCAGCCAAGTTGATCCAGGAGCAGCGGGTCACTAACCTCCACATAAAGGAGATCGCACAGCACCTGGAGCAACAGAATGGCCTGCTACAGATGATGCGGCGTTCTCAGGAGGCGCAGGCCTGTGCCCAGGAGCGGCAGGCCCAGGCCATGGAGGGCACCCAGGCAGCCCTGAGTGTCCTCGTCCAGGTCCTCCGGCCCATGATTAAAGATTTTCGACGCTACCTACAGAGTAACACACCCAACCCAACCCCAGCCCCTAACCCTGGACAGGTGGCCCAGAATGGGCAGTCAGACAGCATTATCCAGTGAGGGCAGGGGTCAAGCCAGTACTCCGCTTGTGATTGAAGGAAACATCTATGGAATTTTAAGTGGTTTCTGTGGGCAGCTTTACGTGGGCCATGTGGATAGCTCCCTCTTGGATAGATACATGTGATTTGTTAGTCTGAGAAAAATGAAGGAGACTGGGAAAAGGAATTTGCTGGGTTCCTGGATCCCAATATATCTTAGTTCAACCTCTGGAGCTGCCTTGCTGAGATTTTAGCTGGGAGCCATGTATACTGGTGATGGGACATGGGTTGACATGATCTACAGCTTGAGACATCACCCACACTCAGTTTAGGACAACTTTAAAGACAAACTGGCTCTCACTGGGGCTATGTCTCAGCACATGACTGTCAATGAGCTGCCCCACCTCAGGTGCGCCACCTTTCTGAGTGCCCCCTTGCCAGTGTAGCCGGCAGAAATGCAATAACACCCAAATAAGAATGTCTCCCAGCACCACTGGGAAGTCCCAGTCCTTTATCCCTCTCACTGTGCCTCCATTCTCAGGGGACTCTCTTGACTGCTGTATGCCACAGCCACGCAGGCACAGCTCTGCTGTTGGATATGCCCTGAGATGTATGCAGCCGACCTGGCTCACGAATGCTTTGTGTGGCAGGTTGGCCACTCTCTAGTCTTCCAGGACACCTCTGAGTAGCTAGCTGTTCTATAATTTGCCCCATCCCCAGACTTTGACACAGGTGGGCTTCCGGTGCTGTCAGTGTTAAAAGGCAAACCCCTGTGGAATCCTGTTTCCTGCTGCAGTGTACTTGAGGTAAATCTCTAGTCTTATTTTATTATTATTTTTCTTTAGAGAGCTCACTTCTAGCCAGTCGTATTTACTCTACAGCGGAACTCTTTCTGAGAGGGCTCCAGGCTCTGTGGCCACCCTTCTTCCTCCTCTGCTGGACCACATGTCCAGCACACAGTGCACGTAGAGCCCTGCTCAGCATCCCACCCAAGTACTCCTCTCACTCTGGTCCACAATGCCTGGTGCCCTGAAGATGCCCCGCCCCCACTGGCTAAGTGAATCCAAAGCAAGGATGGCCCCTGAATGAATGAGGCGGAAGATAAAAAGTGAGCCCTTTGAATCCTATGCTCTCACAGGGCATAGCCTCAGAGGGCTGGAGTACATGTTGCCTGGCTTTCCACCTCTCCGAGGCACTTACAAGAGACTCTGCCAGGCAAGGTTTATCTGTATCGCTTTCAAACTTGCAGTGCTGAGGCCTCAGGCTCCCACATTACTACCCCATTTGCCACATTGCTGCCACATCTGGGACACTCATAACCAGTGACAACAACTCAAAGTTCCAGATCTTAACCAAGCAAAGAAGTCAAGTTGCCTTTCCAGGCATGGGTACATAGAGATGCTTAGCTCTACTGCTGTCCCAGGAAGAGGTCCCCTGGAGATAGTGAGGTGGCTACCCACTGTCCCCTTCTCCAAGAAGGCATTTGCAATGCTAGCTACAGAGAGATGGAATGAGGTGGGGCCCCAGCAGGGTTGCTACAGGAGACGCCTAAGGATTTGTGACCCAGTTTGGTTCTTCTCTGAGGTTGGAAATCTGAGCCAACGTTGTATCTGTTCCATTTGTGCATAAAGAGGAAGCTTAGCTTACTTACGCTAACTTGTTCTTCCCAGGTCACAACTTTAAATTAAAGAAATATCACTTTTTTTTATAAACACTCCTCTTGTCTTTATTGATCACACATAGCCCCCAGGCTAAATCTGGTATGCCACTTTGTGGTTGTTGTTGTTTGTTTTTCTGAGACAGGGACTCACTATGTCTCCCTGACTGGCCTTATAATGTCTAAAGTTATATTTTAAGTTTAAATTACTGTGCTTAAGAGATCTATAAAACAAAATACCTCTAAACTATAAGCCCCACTTGCCCAAGGACGGATAACTCCCTGAGATGCTGGGGATTGTTGTTCATATAAGATAGCAAGCCACATGTTTTCACTTCTGTAAACAAGCTTGGTTGCCCCAACTACACAGAGTGTATTTGATCACTCATAGGTGGAAGGTATGTCAGCAGGAAGTGTGTCAGGATGTGCTCGTGCCCCAGTTGGATAAGGGTGGGAAGTATGTAGCCTTGTGGGTTGTGACTTTATAAACTTCTGTCTACTCAGCACGATACTCTGGGAATCCCAGGTATGGCACTGGTCAGTGTCCATCATCCTGGCCAATATTTAATAAAGCTTGCTTCAAATTTTGGCTCAAAAATTATGGTAGTGGTCTTAGTCTCAGTCCATGGGATTAAGATTTTCTGAAGACTCCAGCAAGATCAGACCACTCATCAAAACTCTGGAAATCCAGGGCCAAAGGGTCACCTCAAGAGGTGCACATCTTGAGACAATCCAAGGCTCTGAGTTATGCTTTCCATTTGTAATTTATTGAGTAAACTGCCATGCAGCATCTACAGAGGCCTACCCTGGTTAGTCATAGTAGTTTTCTGAGACATTTAGTTCTGTTGGTATCCTGATCTGGTATGTGGAGGGGTTTGACAGAACTCAATACTCTCCCATCCAGGGCCAAACTAGAGACATTTCAGGGCCCACCTGAGGTTCTTGGTCTGATTTTGGGTCTTGTTTGTCTTTGTAGAAGTTTTGTTGCAAACATGGGAGCCAAAACAGAAATGAATCAGGCTCAGCTGAATGTATAAATGACGGCCACCACATGTTTTGTTTCTGATTGGTCTTCTTTGAATGTGTAAGTTTTCTGTGTTCTATGTTTATTTTGTTTTTTTTTCTGTCTCTGTCTCTGCCCTGCCACCTGCTAGCCACCACAGCTAATGCTATTTGCCATAGATACTTTGATGGTCCAGGCTCAAACTTTATCTCTAAGCTTTCTGGTCACTGGATTCAATTTAGGAAGGATTCAAATATCCTTTGGATGTGGGTAATATTAGAATTGTTTTATGCTGTTCTACTTTATTGAAAACCTAGTTCTGAAATTGAGTTTTGGCTCTCCTTTCTCTAGACCCAAGCTTTCTTGTTTAAAAGTCTCATCTAAGTTCTATGACAGGGGAGCCACCTGACTCTGAGACAGGAAAAAGAGAGAAAAATCAAAATAGCCTTAAAAAATTAAGATTGTTAGCTTCCAAAACCAAACAAAGCAACAAAAAGAGTCATTCAGATGGTATTGGTTTTAAAGACATGAAAGAGTCATGGAGGGCAGTCGAGGCACTGTGTGGCAGGGCTGTAGTTCCTAAAGAGAGTCTAGGAGAGAGACCTCAGCAGTTTTGGAGATTCCAGTGCCATGTGATGGCTACAAGGAGCAGCAGCCTCAGTGAAATGGAACTAGAAGATAGGCCATGTGCGCTGCCCAGAGCAGCTGGGAATTGAGCCTCTTGGGGGAAGCCCAGAGAATTCTGAGTAAATCCCAGAGCACTGAGTTGTCTGTACTGTTGGAATTTGGTTTTGCCTTGTCCAGATGGTGGTTGCACCCTGTTTCTTCCCTCTTGAAGCAAAAAAGGGTACTTTATTTTTGATATTGCAGAAACTCACAGTAGAGAGATTTTAAACTTCTTTAAAAAGAACTTTTAGAGTTTTTTTTTTAATTAAAAACTTAAAAACTGGATATTTAAATTTATAAAGCTATGAAACATTTTAGGTTTATAAAATATATTATGATGTCTTTGTTAATATGTAATCTTAACAAATAAATAAAAGGCTAAAAGAGTTAGGGCCATAGCTATGAGCATCAAACACTAACACCAGAAACTAGGATTTTCCTATCTTATGATGCAGCAAGCCATTGACATAAGCAGTTTGACAAAAGGCCTACAGGACGTCTCTCCCTCCCTACAGTCTATGCAGGCTGACAGGCTGACTGAAGAATGTATGTCTAGCCTCCTTGGCTTTTTCTATATTTTTTAGCTTTAGCTTTTTAAATAAACTGAATCATACATGAAACTGTGGTGTTCTGTAATGGTGCACTCTGAAAGGGCCAGTCTCTCTTTGGACTGTATATATGTTTTAAAGTTTCATTTTGAGACTAACTAAACTTCCCTTAAAAATTTGTTATTTTTTTAAGGCTAAACTTAACAGGAACAAAATGCAAATCCTAAGTACTCAGTCACCTTACAAATGGTCAAATTTCTTAATGTGCTCAGAACTATATGTGTGGTCATGCAGAGTATTAATGTAAGTAAGTATAGAAATGAGCTTGCTCAGCCTGCTTTCTTATAGAACCCAGGACCACCAGCCCAGGCATGGCACCACCCACAATGGGCTGGTCCCTCCCCCATGGATCACTAATTGAGAAAATACCTTACAGCTGGATCTCATGGAGGCGTTTCCTCAGCTGAAACGCCTTTCTCTCTGATGGCTCCCTTGGGTCAAGTTGACACACAAAACCATCTAGTAGAAATGTCTCTCAAAACTTTTCAGAGATCTGCCTAATATGTCATTTAAAATGTGGAAAAAGCTTCCTGTGGCAGACAGAAATGCCTATCCTAGAGGCGAGCCTAAGGTCTTTATCTTTGGATTTCCATTGCTGTGAAGAGACACCATGACCAAGGCAACTCTTGTTAAGGAAACCATTTCATTGGAGCTGACTTATAGTTTCAGAGCCCATTATCATCATGGTGGGAAGCATGGCAGCATGCAGGCCGACATGGTGCTGGAGGAGACAAGAGTTCTACATCTTGATCTGAATACAGAAGAAAGCGACTACATTTTTTTTTTTTATACTGGGCACAGCTTGAGCATTTAAGACCTCAAAGCCCCACCCCCACAGTGACACTGTGTGATGCAGAGGCCATGGAGGAGGCCTAACAATGCCACACTTTGCCGGGCGGTGGTGGCGCACGCCTTTAATGCCAGCACTTGGGAGGCAGAGACAGGTGGATTTCTGAGTTCGAGGCCAGCCTGGTCTACAGAGTGAGTTCCAGATAGCCAGGGCTACACAGAGAAACCCTGTCTCAAAAAACCAAAAAAAAACAAAAAACAAAAAAAAAAACAATGCCACACTTCCTCTAATAAGGCCACACCTCCTAATAGTGCCACTGCCTCTAGGCCAAGCATTCAAACACTTGAGTCTATGGGGGCCAAACCTATTCAAACCACCACAGTGGAATTCTGACAAGCTAATCTAGCCCTGGTAAAGCTCTGGCCACAGCATACTCACAAGCTCAAGATTTTAAATTCCCTTTGGTTGTTGTCTAAGTATAGACTTAAAAATGCTTCTCATCACATCTGTCCAGTCTGTTTATCCGGCCCTCTGGCTAGAGGAAAAAAATGTTCATGCTTTTTAACCCAAAGCCGTAGCTTTTGTGATGACTCAAGGGTGTACATCAACTTTAGCTGTTTACAGACTCCTAGCTGCTTTTTCTATGATGTGGATTTCAGTACAGATTACAGTGGTAATGCTAATATATCTAAATGTTTTATCACTTTTTGTAAACTAAAAACATCATGTAGGCTTCAGGGAGTCGAGTAAGACTTGAATCACTTCTCACAGGTCAAACAGACTCAAGATAAGTACAGCTTAAAATTTCCACCTGCCCATTCCTGAGGCTGAAGCTGAGATTCCCCCACCCCCACCTCCCAACTACCAAGCCCATGTGCCTATAAGTTCCAAATATAAGATTTCCTTTAGGTTCCTAAGCTTTAACTTTCATCTCTAGTCTCTGTCACAGCAAATTTCCACTTAGCTGACAGATGCCATCCAGAAGTCAACTGCAGACTACAAACTGCTTCAAATGGGTGTGAGCCATGGACTTGCTAAAAGCTGATGTGAACCATTCCAGCTGATGTCTCTTCAGCTGGTGCAGTGAGCCAGATGCTTCTGATAAATGCTTATTGCCTGCACCACCTCCTGGCCTTTGACTGACATTCCAGTCTTTCTGGGCCCTGACAATAATTACAACAAAATTATCCTCAACAAAAGGCTGCAAAGTTAGGTCAAAGGAGACAAAATGGTTACAGAGAGTACCTACTGGCATCCCAGGAAAGGTATCAAACAGACCAAGATCTATCAACAGGTAGATTCATTAGCTGAAGTCGTTCTACAATGTGATAGGGGACTCCAAATGCACTATGTAGAACAAGGAGATTATTGTGTGGCTGTAAGAGAAAATTGTTGTTTTTATACAAGCCACTCAGGAATCATTAGAGATTATCCAGCTATGCTCAAAAAAATGCAAAAAGAGGGCACCTGAGATGAAATAAATGACTGGTCCCATTCTTATTTTTGGGTTCCACCAAGATTGTAACCCTGATGTCAACCATTGCAAAGCCTTTGACCCTTCTGTTCCTGCTAATTATTGTTGGCTTATGCATCTTTTTTTTTTTTTTTTTTTTTTTTTTGGTTTTTCGAGACAAGGTTTCTCTGTGTAGTTCTGGCTGTCCTGGAACTCACTCTGTAGACCAGGCTGGCCTCGAACTCAGAAATCCGCCTGCCTCTGCCTCCCAAGTGCTGGGATTAAAGGCGTGCGCCACCACAGCCCGGCCGGTTTATGCATCATTAATGCCTTAGCCAAGATATGTAAATTCCCATCTTGGTGAAACTTATCTGATGGCTATTAGATCCAATATAAACAGGTACCCACCAGAGTCAAGGATTTGCTTCAGAACACAAATCAAGGGTGGAATGTGAGGGATACAGCTGTGTTTTAAGTTTATACTATTGTGCTTAAGAGACCTATAAAGCAGCCGGGAAGTGGTGGTGTACACCGTTA